GTGTGTAGTGGTGTGTGTGTGTGTGTGTGTGTGTGTGTAACTTTGTCAAGTAGGTGAGATTGGGGGCCAGTGAGCGTCCAGGGGTGCACCTGAATCACTCTCCTATGTCCCCGTTGTTGGGATTACAAGCACATGTCACTGCCTCCAGCTTTCTATGTGGGTCCTGGGGTACAAACTCAAGTCTTCATGACTTACCTACTGAGTCACCCCAGCCCCCTAGTGGCTTCTTTTTTGTTGTTTTTTGTTTTTTTGTTTGTTTGTTTTTTGAGACAGGGTTTCTCTGTGTAGCTTTGGAGCCTTTCCTGGAACTCTCTCTGTAGACCAGGCTGGCCTCGGACTCACAGAGATCCACCTGCCTCTGCCTCCCGAGTGCTGGGATTAAAGGCGCGTGCCACCACCGCCCGGCCCTAGTGGCTTCTTAACAAAGGTTTACTATAAAAGTAATTAAGCTGGCTGTGGTGGTGTACACCCTAACCCAGCACTCACTCAGGAAGGCGTACATCCTAACCCAGCACTCACTCAGGAGACTGAATCAGGCCGAGGCTAACTGGAACAATTCACTGAGATCCTGGGGTAGGGGGTGGAGAGATGGGTCAGCCAGTGTCTGCTGCTCTTGAAGAGGACCAGAGTTCGGTCCCAGCACCCAGGCAACTGTAACTCTAGCTCCAGGGCACCCAATGCCTTCTTCTGCTCTCTGTGAGCACTCACACACAAGTGCACACACTTACACATGGACACATATATGCACACATAAAAATAAATCTTGAAAAAAGCTAAATGTTGGGGTGGGGGTCAGTGGTAGAATGCTTACATTATATCCCAGAGGCCCCTGATACAATCCTCAGGCGTGTGTGCGTGCACACACACACACACACACACACACACACACACACACACAGCTGAATCAGACAAGATGACCAAGAAAGCTAGAGAGAATACCGGATGTGGAGAGGAATGATTTGTCAGACTTAACTCACCTAAGACTTATCGCCCAGAGACCTCCCAATAGTGAAGGCAGCAGTTACATGTATCGTATTAAACAACATAAATACCCAGTGCTAAATAGCCATTTACAGTTAAGATGCTAGTTCCCTGCCCACACTGACTTCTGAGTGCTGAGCATCATAGTAAATTCAATTTCATCTCCCCAGCTCCAGAGACTTTTGCAATCCAGATCCCTATCACCTGCGCAGTTTTACTTCCCACTGCCCCGTAAAATCCTATAAATGATATCAATTATTGTATTCACTTGTTTAACAAAAAAGTACTAAAACCTGCAATGAGTTAGACATGATACATGATAGGTCTTGACCTCCCCACTGTGGACTTACCACAGAATCATTCCTATAACAGACACTCGATGGAGTATGAGCATGTGTGTGCACATGTGTGTGCTTATGTGTGTGCACTCATGTGTGTATGTGTGCACACACACTCACGAGAGTGGCTGGCTGGCGTGGTGCTTGCTATATAGACCAGACTAGCCCAGAACTTTGAACTCACAGAGATCTATCTGCCTCTGCCTCTGCCTCTTGAGTGCTGAGATTAAGGATGCACATCACCACCCCTGGCCTGATGAATTATTGATTAAATGTGGGCATTCTATTAATTGACTCATATGATGATGGAACTAAGGGATGCTAAGTAGAGGAAAATACAAGGGTGGCGGCTATGTTCTATCGAGGGCTTGCCATATGTCCATCTCATTACCTCCTTCTAACAATTCCACAAGCTAGGTACCATCATTCTCATTTTAAGGATCAGGCAAAAGCCGGGCATGGTGGCTCATGCCTTTAATCCCAGAGCTTGGGAGGCAGAGGCATGTGGATCTCTGTGAGTTCAAGGCTAGCCTGGTCTACAGAGTGAGTTCGAGGTCAGCCAGGGCTACACAGAGAAATCTTGCCTCAAACAAACAAGAAAACCCCAAACAAACCAAAAAGATCAGGAAGAAAGACCAGAGAGATGAAATCACTTGCTCATGGTCAGAGGGAGGCTGAACTTCAACCAGAGTCTATCACCTCCTAATCTCGTGTTAACATTTCTGATAGAAGCGGAGAGGAAGAAAAGGGCAGATTTACCCTCCGGAAGAACTCGTTGTGGACCAGCCTCAGCAGTCCAACAGAGATCTCAGTCCCCTTTGCCAGCTGTCCAAGGCGGCACCTCACTACCTGGCAGCGGCTGTTACTCCCGTTCTGTCAGAAGAGAGGCAGATCAGGGTGCTGGAGTGGAGAGCTCCCCTCCCATCTCCACTTCCCCTGACCTTTCACCAGACACCAATCTCTGCCTGCATTCCTGTCCCAGCCACCTTCCGGGGCCTCCTACCAGTCGGTCTGTGTGCCGAAGTTCCTCTGGGTGCACAGGGGGCCCTGGGGGCTCAGTCAGGTTCTGCACCGTGCAGCTTGCCTAAAGGAAGATCCAGCTTGAAAGACCCTCTATGGACAACCCCTTCCCTCCCTCCCAAGCCACCTGGAAAAGAATGGTTGGCCCCAGGAGGCGGCGGCGCTCCGCCAGCGGTGGGCCGGCAGACAGGAGTCCACCGGTTCAAGACGGCAGCGCCCTAGCCCGGACTCACGTTGCTACTGATGACCTGAGATAACGACAGGAAGTAATCGCCCCCGTGGGCTACCGCGGGAAGGAGGGCTGAGATGATGAGGCCACTGACCACGTGACAGCCAAGGTTCTGAACCTGGGAGAAGAATTTACATTGGAAGGAGGCGAGAGACAGAGGACCTGCTTCATCTGTTCCCCTTCAGCCACGATTCTTCTCGTCCTTCCCCCCCCCACACAGCTATTGCCCCTCCCCCACCCCACCCCTAGCGTGCCAAGACCGCTCCCCACCACCAGCTTCTCACCCTGAGAGTGGTTTTGAATTCAGGGCCAGGACCCGCTGGGAGAGTTCTGTAAGGGTGAACCTCGTATCGATGCAGAGTGGACTCGCTGTGGAGATACCACGTCATGGCCGTGAGGATGACACAGGGCACATGATCGCCATACAGACATGGATTCCGGGAAGGTAGGGTCAGCCGTGGGTAATGCGATAGGAATGCGGGACAAAGAAGGAAATTGAATATAACACGAATTTGATTTTAAAAACAATGTATGGCCACACCCCATACCTCTTCACCCTAGTGCCAATGCTCAGGACCTGACAAGGCCAGGAAAGTAAGGTACTCAAGAGCAAAGGTTAACGGACGAGTCGGGGTGAGGACCAGGAGACTGGGCAGCCCAGGGATTGGTGCTCCTGGGAACACTGAAGCTCACGGAAGGCCAGGGAGGAGCCAAAGGGTGTGAGTCAGGGTGAGGACGGGTCCCAGGCGGGAGCCCAGCCATACCTAGAGAACAGGAGCTGAGGCTCGTACCGGATGTGGGCAGAGGTCTGGGCTGCGTTATCTGGAAGGGTCTCGTTCTTCTCCAGGCTACCGCTGTAGGGTCAAGGTGGGAGGGGTGTCACATCCCGGTCCCTCCTCAGGCCCCTCCTCAGGGACCCTCTCTGCTACCAGAGGAATCAGGGCTGTCTTTTCCAGCCACCCACTTCTCCGACTTTCAGTCAAGACCCCCGAGAGGGGCTGGAGGGGGCTGGAGGAAGGTCCTTTGTTCTCACCTACTGGCAGTCAGCCTCACCAAGACCTGGCTCAGGAGCGAGGTGCAGCTAAATTCGAACTCTAGCAGAAAGGTCACCTGGGGGTAAGGGACGCGGACGGAATAATGAGAAATTCTTCCTTGTGGGAACACCACAGAGGAACAAGGGCCCGTGTCTACCTCCTCCTCCCCAGAACTTCCATGCCCCGCGGATCCCAGACCCCGATTTCCCGGCACCTTTCCTCATCGGGGGCCCAAACTCACCTTGGCCCCCGCCTGGAAGACTGGGTGGCCCACGATGCACACCCGGGCGTGGGGAGAAGGGACCGAACATTCCACCTTCACCGATTTGGCCCTCTGAAGGCAAAGGAATGGAGGCGGAAGTCAGAGCTGGGGCTGCTCTTCCGCCCACTAAGATGCTAAACGCTGAGCCTTCCATCAGAGCACCCCAGAGCCGAAGCTGATAATCTCCTCCTCCTCCTCCCTCCCCCCCTTCGCTTCAGAGCCTTCCCCCAAGGGTACCTGAGGAGTAAGACTGGCCAGGTGGAGGTTTCTAGAGAACCTGAGACTCAGGCTAGTGTTGTAGGCATTTTCCTTCTTGTTCTCCAGGGTTGCTGACACCAGCAGTTTCTGCCGGCCGCCGTGAACCACAAATGGAGACTTCCTAAGAACGGGACATAAAGGAAAGACTGAGAGGTAAAAGGAATCAAAAGTCTCACTTCCAACATGGTGGCACATGCTTTTAATCCCAGCACTTGGGAGGCAGAAGCAGGTGGATCTCTGTGAGGTCAAGGCCAGCCTGGGCTATGTAGCAGGCCAGCCTGGGCTACATAGGGAGAACCTGTCTCAAAAACAGCTCTCTAGCCCCCTTGAGTCCCTTCCCACTTGCTTAGCTCATCTCCATCTAACCTGGAGCCTCTGATGTCCATATCAGCTTGAAGCACCAGGTCTGTGATACATTCATTGTCAGGGCCACAGTCTTTTGAGAAGGGGACCTAGAAGAGACGTGAGGGTCAGAGGGCTGGGAGGAAGGCAAGGAGAAAGGACTGGAATTGGGGGAAGGTGAAGAGAAGAGAGGCTGTATTTTGGTCACCAGAGCCTGGATCAGATTTCACCATTTGTGTGTGGCCTCCCCTTTCTCTTCAGTTCACTGGGAGAGCAGCCCTGGGACCCCAGACCATGCAGGGCATGGCACTGCTAACCAGTGTTTGGACAGAGGTGGACGATCCCTCATCCAGCACAGGTCCTGGCTTGGTGGTGTTGTCCAAGGCAAAAGTCACAGTCAAGGCCACTGGCCGGAGGTAATCCGACGTATCCTGAGGAGAAGCAGAATGAAGGACAGATCGTGGGGAAACAGGATCAGAGCAGAAGCCAGGCCTCTGCAGAGGACGCCAAGTGTGACCGTCCAGGAAGCCCTTTCTATGTCCTGGGCACCGTGTCCCAAGGTTGTCGCAATATGATGGACTGTGACTCAAATACAACCCCTCTGATACAGTTATCCGTGTGTATCATCCCTTTCAGTCAAGGACCCTGAGATGCGGCAGCCAAGTGACTTGGCAGAGTTCATAGTGACAAATTATAGAGCAAGGTTTCCAGTCCTATCATCCTGACCCCTGATCTGGATTGTCTCAGTCTCTCCGCTTCAGTTTTGTCGCTGGTCTGGTTGAAACGCCCCTGGGACCCAGGCTTCCCCTCACTCTCGGGCCCAGTGCGAAGCAGTGGCTAACCCCTCCTCACCAGCACGTGGAAGTGCAGCCGTTCACAGGTGACATTCCCTACAGTGAGCTGGAGCGGTCTCGGGGACAGCCGCTGGCCAGAGCCATCGAACGCTGCACGCGCCCCGGCTGTCCACTCATCCAGTGATGCTGAGAAGCGTATGTCTGATCGGGAGAGGCAAGCATGAGAATGGAGACAGGTGCCCACACCAGGGTGGGCCAGGGCTGGGGCGTTGTCTCGGATACACTGTCGTCACTCACAGAACCTGCGGTCCCAACGCCCTGGAGTGTGAGAGGTCACTTGGAAGCACAGGGCTGCTGTCAGGCAGGCTGCTTCCTGGCCTCTTCGCCTACAGTCCTTCTGAACGACGCTGATGTGCGGCGGCATCACATCCAGGCTTGGAAGCAGGTGTATGATGGGCTGGGAGCTGGGAACAGGGTGGGGAAGAAATTCTAAAAGGAGCAGGTAAGTCCTCCCCTCCACCCCCAAAAGTACAACCCTAGACTGAGGATGGAGCTCAGTGGTAGAGCTCTTCAGGGTCCGAGCTTGCACTTCAGAACCAGAAGAAAAGAAAAAGATAAGAATTGCAACCTTAGTACTTGCTTCCCCATGATTAAGGAAGAAAAAAAAATTAAGGCCTGAATAGGTCACCCTTCCCAGAAGCCTATGACAGAAGTCACATAACAATACATTCAATTTTTCCTGTCCGGAGCTGAGGACCCAACCCAGGGCCTTGTGCTTGCTAGGCAAGCACTCTACCATTGAGCTAAATCCCCAACCCTCAATACATTCAATTTGATAAGCACTAATGTCAGAGCTGGAGAGATGGCCCAGTGATTAAAAGCACTGGCTGCTCTTCCAGAGGACTCAGGTTTGATTCTTAGCACCCACAAAGCAGGTTAAGGCCCGCTGTAAAACTCCAGTTCCAGGAGATCTGATACCCTCTTCTGGTCTCCGCAGGTACTGCACGCACGCGCACACACACACACACACACACACACACACACACACACACACACACACTACACAGTACACAGACATACACACAGGCAAAACACCCACACACATAAAATAACAATAAATAAGCACGGTTAGAAATCTTCATGTGGACTATCCCATTTGATATCTGCAACAAACCAGTAGGATAGTGACAATTACTTTTATTCTATGAACTAGGAGCTTAGGCATCAGCTTAGCTGACCAAGAAACCCAAATCTAAATTGGTGACCTTTGTTCTTATAAGCTGTGCCATCCTGTGCACCGCTACCCAAGCTGATACCCCCTCACCTGAGCAGGATGGCTGCCCCATGGGCACCCACAGCAACGTCCACGAGATCATCTCCATCCAGATCTAACCGGCCGTCCACGCTTCGGCCGAAGTAGCGGAGGGCCTGTGGCATGGATCTAGCAGCGATCCGCTGGGAGGAGGTGGGGGGGGGAGACTGAGGAAGGATGCACATCTGCTTTTCTGTCCACCTGTAAGCCTCTTTCTAACATTCCCATCCATCAAGAGAATAAGAAAAATTCGCCCATCTCAAGACCCCCTCCCTTACCATCTCATTTCTCAACCCATGAATACAGGCACGGGCGTGGATGAGTCTTAAGCCAAGTGGATAAGCAGAGAAAACAACTCCCTTCCCTTCCTACCACTGAGTCCCATGTTCAATTGTTTGTTTTGATTTTGAGACATCTCACCATGCAGTCCTGCCTAGCTTGGAACTCACTTATGTGGGCCAGGCTGGCCTTGAACTCACAGAGGTTCACCTTCTGGGGTGAAAGGCATATGCCACCACACTGCTAACCTGGGTAGGATGGGGCCTGATCCCATTCTGGGCTCCATGATACAGGTATAGCGCTCCCTGGTGCCCATCCTCCAGGGGTGCCCCCACAGCCACATCAGCGAAACCATCTTGGTTCAGGTCAGGAAGAGCAGCCATGGCAAAGCCAAATCGAGAATCCTGGGGGCGTTCTGGCTGAAGGGTTCCTTGGAGCATCAGCAGACTTTGCTTGTAGTGGTGAGGAGACAGAAGGGATCGCTTGTCTGGTGACCCTCACCTCTCAGCGAGCTCTCAGATATGTGTCTCTCTCTCCCCCTTCTTCCACTACCACCCCACACACATCTTAGGGGGTCCCCCGATCTCACCTGGCCCACCACATACACGTAAACACGTCCGGTCTCTTTGTTCTGGGGACCCAGAAACATGGGGGCCGCCACAAGTAAGACATCAGTTATTCCGTCACTGTCTGTATCCAGTGGGCACAGCTCACCGCCAAAGTACGAGCCAATCTGGGCGAGGTGGGCGGTGAGGAGCCCAGAGGGAAGGAAAGGTGACTGTGGACAGCTGGACTCAGCAGGAAGCACTCACCACTGTGCCAGTCTGGTCCTCACACCCCTGACAGACTGTCTGCCAGAATTCAGCATGGACTTCCCAGCCTTGCCCTTTCCCTAAGCACTCTTCTTCAGCCTGGACGTCCTGGGGACCCAAGGGTCCCACCCTCCCCTGATGTCATACCTGGTCCCCCTGGAGGCTCTGGGTGACCCTCAGAGACCCATCTTTCTTTAGCTGGAAGACTATGACCTTTCCTCGATGTCTAAACCTCGGTGCCCCCGAGAGAAAGAGGCGCCGTCCACCCGGCAGATTTATGGAGGAAACAGAGTAACCTAGAAGCGAGGAGGGATCAGATGTAAAAGGAAAAGAAGATGGGGTAAGAGTGGACGGTGTGCTAAGGGCGTCAGGTGAGTTCTCCAGAGAGATCAGTGAAAAACTGCCTGAGTGAAGAGGGAGGGCCTCCCACCCCTACTGGCTCTCCCTCACCCTCCCAGCGCCCCCCCCAACTCTGTTACTCACCCAGGTAGGCTGCGTGGTTCTGCAGTGCAGGGGGAAACTCATCTTCCAGGGCCGTTCGTGGGGGGAAGAGGCGGCGACCTTCTTCAAGCCATAGCACCGAGCCCCCCCAGTCGTAGGCCCCCACCATCCCAAAGAGAATCCCATCCTGAGGGGCGGAACCAGACGAGGACACTGAGAAGACAGTGGGGAATAGGAGAAAAACGACTCCCCGGGAGTAAGATGCTCATGGAAGGGCACACTGTGGTCAGAAAAGTGCAGAAGGTCGGGATGCAGGAGTAAGATGCTCATGGAAGGGCACACTGTGGTCAGAAAGGTGTGGAAGGTCAGGATGCAGGTGTGGAAGGTCAGGATGCAGTCTGGTTAAAGGAGAAATCTAGACGGGCCTTAGGGTTGAAGTTATCTGAGTCAGGGGCTGGAGAGGATTATGATGAGATCAAGGGCCCGGGGATGCTGCAGAAGGTCAGGGTCTGTCCAACCTGTAGCCGGTGGGTGGAGAAGCCAATCTCAGACATTTCTAGCCCAAAGGAGCTTTCATTTTCTCCACGGGACCCTTGGACATGAGAAAATTGCAAAGCGCTATCAGGGGAGCTCGCTCTACTGAACTCACTCTAGAATGCCCCTAACCCGGTCTTCCATTTCGCCAGGATAATCATTACCTTCAAGACCAAAAATCCGGTCTCCCAGTGCGTCCACAATGTCTGTCAGTGCGGCCTCATCTGTGACGTTGAAGAAGAATCGCTCGTCTGGATCACTAGCGATGTCTCTGATTTCCCGAAGAAAAGAGCTAGGGTCTCTCTGTCGCCGGAGATAGTGACCAAGGACCTGGGTTCAAGACGGGGGTCTATTAGCTGTGTGAAGCAAGTTGTTAGAGCTGACAGAGAACATAGCCAGCTGAAGAAAGAGGAAGGAAATAACAATCGAAGTCCAGGGAGTTGCTGATACTATTTCCTCTGTGTTTCACATCCTGAAAACCTTTCTCCATCTCTCTTTTTAGATCCAGAGTCTATTCTTGGTCTGGGAAAATAACTCAGTGAGTAGAGTGCTCGCCACGTGAGCCTGACAGCCTGAGTTCAGATCCCCAGACCCCGTAAAATCATAAAATGCTGGACGGTAGCACAAGCTTTATCTGCGATCCTAGCAGGCTCGACCAGGAGACAGGAAGCTGAGTCAGAAGACTGGCCCAAACCTGTGGGCCAGCTGGCCTGGCCTATTGCACACAGCTGAACAAGAGACCCAGTCTCAAACAAGGTGGAAGGTGAGGACCACTGTCTGAGGTTGTTCTCTGACCTGCATATATACACACACACATATATGTATATATATCATGGTATGTGCACACATGCACACACACATCATACATACACACATGCACACACACACCATACAAACACACACGCAATACAACACAGAACAAAACCAAAAAGCACCAGTCCCAAGTCTCACCGCAATCCCGTAACGTGTTACTTTCCCAGCCTCGCAGGCCTTTAGTGCTGCTGGAAGGTCCTCTCCATCATGGGATTCGCCATCAGTGACAACCACCAGCAGCCTGGCAGCCTCGGGTCTGCCCCCCCGGGACTCACTGAACCCTTCTGTGCTAGGAAGAGAAAAGAATGAGATACAGTCATGCGTATGAGCGTGATGTGAGTGTCACACACACACACACACACACACACACACACACACACAATGTATTTAACATTGTCAGCAGTTCACTGAGGTCAGACATTGTATTTCTAGGCTATTCCCCAACAGCGTTTAACTTCCAAACTGGCACAAAGTCACGGTTTGAATGTTTGGATGTCACAGAACACATAGAATAACCTATCATCAGTGTAAATAAGTACAGGCTTTAGTCATTCACAGATTCATTCAGCAGACATTGTGTTTGGGTTGACAAGATCAAGGGCATGGAGAAGAGACACCGGTCGTGGGGCCAGGCCTTCTTCCCAGAGGTTAGTTAGTTTAGGGTCACGTTTGGAAAGAAAGCTAGGACTCGAGCGGTTGAAAAGCTAAAATCAGAACTGACACAGAAGCAGAGACGAGCTGGGGCTCTGGTCACAAGGCCAGACAGGGAGAGACACACACAGACACTGTAAAACGCAGTAAGAGAGAGTCCAGTGACAGCAGCCAGCTGAGCCTTCCTCCGTGAACTTCCGGCACACACACAAAGATAAGCATACAGAGCATCTTGTGATGGCACACCATACACCCCAGCCCCTCTCCTCGCCCTGCTGATCCTTCACCCGCCCACATCCCCTTCCCCACGCCTCACCAGGCCACCATGATTGCTTGGGCCGTTCTTGTTTCTCGTCCCTCCCGCCGACTGAGGTTCCTGGCTGCTCTCACTACTTCTTCCTTGGTTCGGAAATCTCCCAGGGACCACTCATGCACAGGGCTCTCCCCGTACTGGACCAGCCCGACCTGAAAACAACAAGGCATGTTCCCAAATGGATGTCTGCAGAGGACGAAGGAGAAGAAAGGATGGAGAAGAAACGAACACCCCTCAGGCGGGTCCAGCCTGTAGCCTGTGGGCCCCAAGCAACAGCGTGCAGCAAAGGACAGCTATCCTAAACTTACTTCAAACATTGTGAGATTTTTGTGACTTTTTGGTAACTTAATTGCACATTTCTTATGCCCTGGTGCTATGTCAAGATGTTGGACATGCCTGATTACACTAAAGGGACCATGACTATTAATCTCTTTCCCTCCAAGCCCATCCACGTATCCTTCTCGTACCTGTATCTGCTCCGGATCAATGAACAGTCTCCCTACCAGCCTCCGAAGGAAAGTCTGGACTTCAGACCAGGGGTAGATACTATTGGAGCCATCCAAAACAATGACGACATCCATGTATGTAGGACAGCCTAGAAGGGGGAACATAGAGATGGGAAACAGACATGGAAGGATGCTGGGGTGGAGCCAACAATGGAAACCGTCACAGGAGGATGCTTCAGTGTAAGCTAGGACTTCTTTCTTACATGCAAGGAAAGGACTACGCCAGGTCCTAAGTGCAGAAATGAACGAAAGAAGAGAAGGACAAGTGTGAAGAATGAAATACGCCCTGGGTAGAAACCTACCACTACCCTGTGTATGGGAGACTGAGAAAGCATCACTTTTGTATGTGTGTGTCTGTGTGGGAATTGAACTAAGGGCTCTACTCATGCTCTACAATGTGCCCCTGAGGGGCAGGTCCAGCTCCGGGGGTCGTTTCTGATAGTGGTAAACCAAAGAGGCAGCAGAGGCCGGCCATGACAGTTCATGTCTACTATCCCAGTACTTCAGAAGCCGAGGCAGGTAAGTCCCACGTCCAAGGGCATCCTGGACGACATAATAAAACCATCTCCCAAAAGGCGGCAAATAAGAAGGTATATGAAAGGACTGGGGGAGACCTCAAGAGCCGAGTGCTCACTTGGCATGCATGAGACCCACAAAAATCAGACACGGAAGATTCTGAGAAAATGCACTGGGGCAGAGAACACTGTAAACAAAGGGAAATACAGGTCCAAAATAAACGGCACACAGAGGAACAATCGTGTAAACGTGATGGCTGAGGCACAGGACGTGCGGAGGATAAGCTGCGTTTTCCAAGCTGGTTAAGCCAGATCTTGGTGTCTTGACGCTCTGGTAAGGAGTCTGAATTCTAATGTTAGCAAAGAGCAGGTTGCTGCATGCGCTGTTGGGAATGCTGAGGACAGCCATGCAGACGCTCGCCAGGTCTTCTGTTTCCCCCATCCCGCACCCCCATCTGGGAGCTGAGTCCTCAGGCCCTTGCACTGGCTCACGTTGGGCAGTGGGTGCCAGGCTTCCCTGGGGCCGGAATGAAGCATCCACACGGGCACATATTCCAGAACTGAAGACAGAGCTGCCACAGGCGCGAGACCAGAGCGGGGCACAGGCCTGGGGGTGGGGGGGTAGGGGAAATAGTCATTCCCAGACCTGAGAGAGGCCCCTCAGAACATGCATGCAGTTAAAAAAGAATTGAGATTACACCATGGGGTACCCTGTCTTGCTCTCTAGGGATTCTGAATTCCTTGACTCTTCTATACGGACTCATTTCCCTATACGGACTCTCTTTCCCTGCCGCGAACCTTCTGACCCTTTAGCTCACCATGAATCCCCCGTCATCATCTGTCTCTAGCAGAGACATGCCCAGGTGCATGTTCACAGCAGGCTGAGAGGAATTTCCCAGTCGATAGTCACCTGGTTGGAGGAGGGGTAGAAGTGAAGTCATGGGGTCAAAGTCTGGGTGCCTTAGTTCTGTGTAGTTTGGGAAGAGCATGAAGAGGAGTCAGTATCGAGTTGAAGGCCATGTCTGTATAGGTTATGGGGGCAGCAAAGAAGCTGATGTACAAGGACTCGGTTACTGGGTGTCAAAATCAGGGATTAGCAGGGGGAGAGTCAGGCATCTTCTTACCCAGGTGGCCCTTGGCACATGGGGCATTGTGGGGTCCCCCTATAGAGCAGCGGTAAACATCCCCCCGCCGGTCACCTGAAGGCCCATCCCAAGGGGCGCCCACCAGCATCCTGGGAGGGAAATACGGACGTAAGCATCAGGTGAACATGACTCTTAATGTAGGAGAGAGGGAAGGTGCATGGAGATGGCAAGTTTAGAGCCCTAGGCCCTTTCGAGGATCAGCTTAGAGACCCATTTATCTTGCCTCCCTTCTCACCAGAGCTACCACAGTCCCAATCCCATGGTCCTCCGGGCCCCTTCTCACCATCGCTGTCCACCCCCAGCATGCTGTAAGACGCTGTATCCAAATTCGGCCTCCGGTGGCCCTGTGAACAGGCGTGGGTGATGCTCATCCAGATTAAAGGGGGAGCAGAGACCTGGGAGGCCAGGATCATAATTAGCGTCAACCTGTCAGTCAACTGAAGAAGGGCTGGAGAAGCCAAGCGATGCACAAGACAAGAAGGTGCATTTCCATCTCCATGTGTCTGCCTGAGTACGTATGAGCCCTCCAGGCCTCTGTCAAGGTCACGGACTCAGAGCCCCAGCTGGGATGATGGGACGATTCTCTTCCTGCGTGGGGGTCCCAAGGCCCTCTGCCAGGCCGAAGCACAGCTGCGTTTCCATTCTCACTCCTGAAATCTCCTTCCCAGACACGTCTGGAAAGGTCAAGTTACTTTTTCTACATCATTCCTCCTACACGCCCTCCTAAGCCGTGAGAATCAAGAGAAGGAGCGCGCCCTTCTGCAGCCACAGAATAGCCACCCTTCCAGATTCCTCCCAAACCCGGGGCCATGGGGAGAGGGAGAGGAGGGTGAGGAGCCCCGGGTCTGGGTGTCGCCTTTCCATTCTTTCTCGACACTGTCACACTTGGACTCTTTCTCCAAGGTCTAGGACGTTGGTTGCTTCCAGTCAGTGCTAATTAACTGGGTGGAACCCCCGGCCTGCCCACACACAGAGTGTGCCATCTATCCTTGTTGAGGGTCCTACCCCCAAAAAATAACTCCCCCATAATCTGCTGCTTATCTCCTCCACCTCCCAACTGCCCCTTGCCCATAGTTTCCCCAAATTCTAGCCCACTCTCTGGGTCCCCAACGGTGTCCTGCTGAGTCCTTTCTTCTGACCCCAATTCCCATAAAATCAGAGCTGGTATTTTAGGAAACAAAGATTACAGGGTACCAGCAGGGAAAGCTTCCAAGCCTCTTGTCCTCCCATCCTTCTCCTCCACTGCCTCGCTCCTTCCATTCAAGCCTCTCTTCTCTTCTCTTCTCTTCTCTTCTCTTCTCTTCTCTTCTCTTCTCTTCTCTTCTCTTCTCTTCTCTTCTCTTCTCTTCTCTTTTCTTCTTC